TATAACAAAAATAACCAACACGCGAACATAAAAACACATTGCTCATCGGCTAGTTTATACGCATCATATACATCAAAATACACATCAAACAACCTTTGTTTTTCTAATACAACTTTAAAAGACCAAAGATGCATGAAGCTTTTGTCATAAAACATAACAAAAAAATGTTGTGATAGAAAATATGTATGAACTTATTTTTATACAAAAACAAGTGATCCATATTCTACAAAAACTAAGGCTTCCAAAAATCAAAACATCTAACAAAACTAGCAAGGTGGCTCTGATACAAATTGTTGGGTTGTAGTTCAAAATTAGTTTCATAAACTTGAAAAATATGGCAACAGAAGATTTTAATTTTTTAAATAACATAAATAATTTTTACCAACCAAGGATCATCTTGAAAGTTATAGAAATATTTAAATACCAACCAAAGAAAGGATGAAGAAATAACAACCAATATGAACTTAAAGATGACGTGTGAAAGCTATTAATCTCCACATCTTCAAAGCAAAACTAGAGAGAATAAGAGAAGAAGATGTACTTTCAGCCACTTGCTACAAAAGAAGGGAATGATCAAAGAAGCCAAGTGCAAGCCATCTTATTTATATGCATAAAGGAAAGTTATTAACCATTAGTTCCTTCAACTTTAGACAAACTTGTCTCCATGTCATAATAGTGTCCATGAATGCTTGTAAAGCATGATTTATTTTCCTTTAAATAATCAAAAACTCATCACTAGAATGCTTGTAAGCATGCTAATGGTTTTTTAGCATAAAAAAGAAGTCAACCATGGTAAATTTTATAAACTCTTTTATGAAATATAAACCTTAACTTTTTGGTAAAAGACAAAAAATCCTTATGGTCCAAAATGTTGTACATGACTTAATAAATCATACGATATGATATATTATCTTACTTGCTAATGAAAATTAATTATTTCCTAGAAATAAATAATTCCTAATTTAATTATAAGGGTTTTAATGGAATATTTAATAAAACTAATTTCTAATAAATAATCAATTGTATGAAGTTGTTGTTAGTGTGATCCATTAGTATCATATGTTATTTAGCAATAACATTTTAATATGACTCTTGAGCATACTAGACCTTTCAAGGCTTGATCCTAATCACCAAGATTATATATCAAATATATATATATATATATATATATATATATATATATATATATATATATATACATATAACTACCTAATATATAAAACATCACCAAGATCATTGGTTCACACAGATGCTGATAAGACTATGTGTTGGCATTGGCGTTGGCACTGCCACCGGTGGTCAGCATGTAAAGTGTTTGACACATTACTTTTAGAGGTTCTTTATAAAAAGCTAGTTTTTATATAATTTGACGCAATTCAATTTTAATAACCGGTATCAATTTTGAGTGCATTTAAACCTTTTATGTCTTTAATAAATCTTCATTTTACTTCTTTTATATATATATATATATATATATATATATATATATATATATATATATATATATATATATATATATATGGAGTTTGTATAAGTAACAAAAATCACGATTTTAAACATATAATGGAGTATTTCAAAATTTTCCGTTATTAACGATTTTATAAAAACGAGTTTTATTTTAAAAATAATAACTTGTTAAATCTTATGTCCAATTTTAAAAACCCAAACTTCATGTGATTTTTATTTTGTCTAAAATTATTTTAGCATTTGAAAAACTAATTTATCAACCACACAAAATAATTGCATAAAGCAAACAACACTAACTTGCATAAAAAGCTGTGTGTATAAACATAACCAACTAATGACATTTTTGTGAGCCAACAAAAAAATATTAATTCCATTCCTAAAAGGACATTTAAGGGGACCAAAAAACTTCTTGTAATGTTGTTGTAGAAGCTCCCACTCGAATAAACACCCATTGCTTGCAAAAGATAGGAAAACCTTCTTGATGGATAAAATTCAGCAACTCTTGTTAAAAGTACGACAACCATTTGTTAATAACATTGGTGACAGTTTTCACAAAATGTCACTAAATATCCTCCACACATTTTAGACTTGAAAATTGCTCTTTTGTCTTCAAAAATGGTTCCATCTTGATTTCTTCTTATATTTTTGTACAAATAAATTAATTCTAAAAACTAATTTATTACATTACAAAAATAACCAAAAAAAGCTAATCTATTTAATTATTACATACCATATGAATAAATAAATTATTACAACCATTTTATAACAAAAATAACCAACACACCAACATAACAACACATTGGTCATTGGCTAGTTTATGTGTATCATATACGTCAAAATTCACATCAAACAATCTTTATTTTTTTAAGAAAACTTTAAATGACAAAAGATGCATGAAGCTTTTGTCATAAAACATAACAAAAAAATGTTGTCATATAAAATATGGATGAACTTATTTTTATACAAAAACAAGTTATTCATATTCTACAAAAACTAAGATTTCTAAAAATAAAAAAATCTAACAAAACTTGTAAGGTAGCTCTGATACAAATTGTTGGGTTGTAGTTCAAAATTAGTTTCATAAATTTGAAAAATATGGCAACAGAAGATTTTAATTTTTTAAATAACATAAATAATTTATACCCACCAAGGATCTTCTTAAAAGTTATAGAAAGATTTAAACACCAACCAAAGAAAGGATGAAGAAATAACAACCTTTGTAGTTCTTTGGATCCTTTTGGGAGGCTTGTAAGTTGATGAATAATCTGGAACCTTTAAGACACCAAAAGTGACTCCACTTGAGCATTAAGTTCATAACCAATAAGAACATAAAGATGACGTATGAAAGCAAGTAATCTCCACATCTTCAAAGCAAAACTAGAGAGAATGAGAGAAGAAGATGTACTTTCAGCCACTTGCTACAAAGGAAGAGAATTAGCAAAGAAGCCAAGTGCAAGCCCTCTTATTTATATGCATAAAGAGAAGTTATTAACCATTAGTTGCTTCAACTTTAGACAAAATCATCTCTATGTCATAATAGTGTCCATGCATGCTTCTAAAACATGATTTATTTTCCTTTAAATAATCAAAAACCCATCACTAGCATGCTTGTAAGCATGCTCATGGTTTTTTAGCATAAAAAAGAAGTCAACCATGGTAAATTTTATGAACTCTTTTATAAAATATAAACCTTTACTTTTTGGTAAAAGACAGAAAGCCCTTATGGTCCAAAATGTTGTACATGATTTAATAAATCATACCATATGATATATTATGTTACTTGCTAATGAAAATTAATTATTTCCTACAAATATATAATTCCTAATTTAATTATAAGAGTTTTATTGAATATTTATTAAAATCAATTTCTAATAACTAATCAATTGTATCAAGTTATTGTTAGTATGACCCATTAGTATCATATGTTATTTAGCAATATCAATTTAATATGACTCTTGAGTATACTAGACATTTCAAGGTTTGATCCTAATCATCAAGATTATAAATCAAATATGTATTCTATATATATACATATAACTACCTAATATATAAAACATCACCATGTTCATTGGTTCACACAGATGCTGATAAGACTCTGTGTTTGCATTGGTGTTGGCGCTGCCACTGGTGATCCGCATGTAAATTGTTTGACACATCAGACCACTGGTGGTCAGATGCAGTAATTTGTAACCCTCGGAAACTAGATGCAGTCATGTGGTTCCTTCTTCATCATCGATTTAGATATCGAATTTTGAGTTTCTTCACAGACCACAAACATGTGGAGTAATAATGGTTAATCTGTAGTTTTATCTGTGATTCTTACATGAGTCAATGAGTTTTTAAGAGGAACAATCGTTCATCTGGTTTTTGGTTTCATTGCAGATTATTATCGGTTTATTTGATTTTTGTTGATTTCAAATATTTTGGTTGATCTCAATATATATATATATATATATATATATATATATATATATATATATATATATATATATATATATATATATATATATATATATATATATATATATATATATGGGTGCTTTCTTGTTTTATTAATTAATAAATATAAAAACAAGTATTAAAAATGTAAAAATAAAAAGAAAATGACATTTTATTCTTTCTAGTTTTCTAAGGGACCAAAACCAAAAAGAAGTAGCTTAAAAAGAACCCAATAAAAAAATCACGGTTTGGACCAATCCTCAGAAAAAATGCATACGGCAGAGATCATTTTTGCAGTTTTATCAAAATTCTATTTGTTTTAGTCCAAATACGAAAGTAAAACCAAGGCTTCTTTCTTTTTTTTGTTTTTATGCTTACAAAATATAAATGTCAAATACGAAAGTAAAACCAAGACTTCCTTTTTTTTAGTTTTTATGCTTACAAAATATAGTTTTCAAAAAGTCAACCAAGCACCAAAAAATCAAATCTAAGAACATTTAATGGGAGCTCTTTTTAGGTATTCATATCATTTTGTTATCTTGATTTTTTTTTAATGTAATATTATTTTTCTTCATTTATAAGCTAATCTTAACATTTCATAGCTAATCTTAAGATTTGATAAGGAGTGATAACACTCCTAACACTTTATTATTTATTATTTTTTTCCAATTTAATTAATTAATTTATTTTAATAAACAAACATATTCTTTTAATATTACATAAACATTTTTTCGATTTAATTATTACGACATAATTTTAACGACACGCATTTCATATTAAATAAAAACGATTACATTATTTTAAAGCACGATTTAATACTGCGTAAGGCCTACAACACGATTTAATACTACCTAAAACATAATTTAAGATGATGATTTAATACTACCTAAACGATCTAAAACTTACTTAAGACATAAAACACGATTTACTCCGCTTATACTATTTTGCAAGGTCATGTCTTACATTGTTAAACACCCGACGATCATCCTCAGACAAGTTTTTTCCTTGTTTTAACTAATGTTTCTTTGTTTTTACTTTCCCAATTTCAAGAATGCATCGAACTTATTGTCTAACCTTCAGATATCATCCTTAATCTACTCCACTTCAGTCGATGAGATTTGAGCACCATTGAGCTTTCTTTCTTCTTTGTATCGTCCCATAGGACGGGTTAGAACTTGACATGGCTCATCATTGTAGATGTTAATCCTTCCGATACGCGCACCAGAAGATTGATTGTGGATAGACTCCAACGTTTTGCTTCGTTTGGACATCCCCGTTTAATCATCAGGACTTTTTAGATCTAACCATTTTCAATTTTCTCATCATAACTCCCCAAAACGACTCATTGGAAAACGATCTTTCGAATTTTGCCTTGTAAATCTGATGAACTTTAGCCATGACATCCACCTCAGTGACGCCGTTTTGGAGTTTGCAGATCGCATTCAGGTAGATGTCGTTAAACTCCATTATGGATTGGTTGGCAGTCCTCCATTTCGAGTAAAGTGAATCGGGATTGTGGTACTTCCTTTTCATGTGTTGACAAAAATTAAGCCAAACGTTTTCTTTGAAGATTGTTCAGTCTTGGTTGTTGCCGTGGATCGGGCACTCTGACACATTTAGCCAAGATTATGCTAGTGCCCTCTATCCATCATTCATCCACCCACTACATGGAGCCTCAATTTTCCTTTTTTTTTGTACTTATGGTTCAACTTCGGGCTCTTGAAATGACTTTTAAACACAATCTTCAATGGGGCCTTCATCGGAAAAATCGGTTGACTCATTGAGTACGCGGTATGGTTGGGATTGAAAATTACTTTGCGGTTGAGGTTGGGAAAAGAATTAACTTTCTTGAACCGTTTCAAACGGATCAAGATCAAAATTAGGATAGGATGTTGGTTGAGATTGGTTTTGGTAAAATGTCATTGGTTGAGAAGAGAAAAGATTGATGGAAATATTATGGAGTCATTATAGGAAAGCAGCAGCTAGTAGGAAAGTGAATAGGTTGATCAAATGATTGTCGATAACATGGTGGTGATGGAAGGGTTGGGGATGGAAGCTTTGGTGATTGAGTGTTTGGAGGTGGAAGATTTGGTTATGGAAGGTTTGAAGCTTTCTTTTTGTTGCTTATTGGGGTTTTCTTTAATTGAGATGAACACATTTTCTTTCAAGAGTTGAAAGAGTTTGTGAAAGAGATAATGGTATTTTGTGTGTGTAAATTGTTGAGAGTTTGGTTTGATTTATAGTAGTTGAATATTAAAAAAAATATATTATAAAACATTTTCTTAATGAAAGGTGGTGTAAATTGTTGAAATTAAATTCAACACATTGAATTTGGTCAAGGGGTAAGTGATCCAGTCAAACCTCACTCCCACCAATCAAATTCGTTTAGCGCGTCTCCGGTGGTGACCCCCCTAACGAGCACTAGGGGGTTGTTGTCTAGTAAGACTGGCGAGGCTAGCAAGGCAAGTGGCGAGTGCCACTCCGTTTAGTCTTATAAGTTACTATTATGCATTTTTTTTGAAAAAATTGCAAGTTTGGTCCCTGTGGTATGTTAAAAATTGGATGTTTGGTCCAAAACGTTTTGGGGTTGCACCGGTGGTCCAAAAGGTTTGATTTGTTATGGAATTGGCCCAAAGGCTTAACAGCTGTTTATACCCTCCGTTTATGTGAGTGTATTTCTGTCCAAAAGGATTGATCTTATAAAGTATTTGTCAAATAAGGGTAACTTTTGAATAAATTAAATTCATGTTTGATTCCACTTTGACTTTTGATTGGTCAAAATAGGAACCCGATTAGAAAGGGGTCAAGGGATTTTTTTTTGTTCATCATTTGATCGATCGTCAAAGGGAACACAAAGGAAACGAATACAGAACACGAAGGGAAGAACAAAGGCATAATAGATTAGGAGGAAGAGGAGATTGCAATGGGAATCAACGGAAGGCAGTCAAGAAGAAGGCACACGAAGTCAGCGAAGGTTCGATCGTCCTTCTGGATGAAGGAAGGAGGTACGATGGCTTCTGATTTTTCATCGATTGATTCGCAATCGGTGATGGCCTCCGGGATTCGACTTAGGCCGAAGAAGAGGAAGGGAAAGGAGAAAACATTATTCGTGTTTGGGAAGATCGATGTCAAAAAACTACAATTGAAATGGTTGCAAGCACAAATGGGACTCGTAAGTCAAGAACACGCACTATTTGGAACGTCGATTCGAGAAAATATTATGTTTGGGAAGATCGATGCAACAATAGAGGAAGTAATCGCCGCTGCAACGACTGCCAATGCTCATAATTTCATCAGGTCGCTTCTGGAAGGATATGAAACAATGGTTGGTGAAATACGGGCACTTCGAGGTTAACCACGTCGAAATCGAGCCCAACAATGTTCGATTTACCAATGCCTTTCAACGATCTATAATTGCTATTATTTCAACTGTAGTTTTTTGACATCGATCAAAACAAGCGGTGATCGGGAAGTAGACGTTAGGAGGGTTTAATTTAATAAGATATTAAAAGAATGAGTGTGAATTGACAGAAATACCCTTACACAAATGGAGGGCACAAACGACTATTAAGCTTTTGGACCAATTCCACAACAAATCAAACCTTTTGAACCACCGGTGCAACCCCAAAAAATTTTGGACCAAACATCTAATTTTTGACATACCACAAGGACCAAACTTGCAATTTTATCTTTTTATTTTTTATGTTGACACCATAATATATATTGAATTATATATTGAATGGTAGTTATACATTTAACCCCTTATATTTTAACTATATTTCAATTTACCTTTTTAATTATAATTTAGTTTTAGTATTTTTTTTAATTTACTAATTAATGATTCTTATTAAATATTTTAATATCAAATTTATAAATATAGTTTTTATGATAGATAATATAATATTTTCAATGTTTTCATTTTATTTTTGTAACTTTAACATAATAATTTTTCTTATTTTAATAACAAATCAATATATTTGTATTTATATACTTATATTAAAATAATTTTTGTGTGTAAAAATAGACTTCTTATATAAGAAACTTTTATAAAACATTTTAAAAAGATGAGGATAAATTAATTAAATTTATGAAAAAAAACTATGCAAATAAGTTTAACCATTATAGCTTTAATTTATTTAGAGGTGAAGATTAAATTTCTTTTAAGTCATAGTATAGTATAGTATTAGGTTTGGACCATTTTTTCGGGTCCGGAATGACCCATTCCGGTTCAAAGTAGCTAGTTTTAAAAAAACAGTTATTATTATTAAAATACCATTAAAAAGTGATTAAATTAGTCAATTTTTCACAAAATTTTGTAGTCGAAAAAGATGTCACCTAGGATGAAAAGGGTTCTTTTATTATAATAAGGGATATGATATTGAAATCGCATGCCATATAAAGTTTAAATGGGTTTATAATATAACATACAGTTCCTTAAAAATTATTTTAAAATATATATTTTATATACATATTCAAATCGCATTCCATATAAAGTCTCCTTACAAAATTCATTAAAATAGCATTCATTTGAATTTATGTTGCATTCAAAATTCTTTAAAATAGCATTCATTTGAAATTATGTTGCATTCAAAATTCTTTATTTTCTTTAGAAACTTATAACTCATAACAATACTAATCGACATGATTTAGGAAACCTATGTTTCATAAAAAGGAATTAAACTAATTAACCACTTGCAAAGCAATGATTGTGACGATCATCACGTTAAAAATAAAAATTCTTTACAATAAATTATTGAAAACTGATATAAAAGAACGATACCAAATAAAAAATAAAACATAAATGGTGTAATCAAACGTCTTTAATAAAAATCGAGTATATATGTGCAATCACTAATAGAAATAAGTGCATCAGATATACTCAATGAAAATTAATTTATTCTATTTCTTCTTTAATGTACATATATACCATTTTGTAGTATTGTCTACAGATTTTTTTCCTCTCAATCTTAACTCTAAATCATAAAATATACTCCATTGATTACAAAACCAAAATCCTAGAAAAAAGAAATAGGTATAGGAAAAAATTCATAAAGTCATAAATTCGCATGAGATAACAAAGCCTATAAACCTATCAAGTAAAAGAATATATAGAAAGCTTGGTATATACAAAAGTAACAAAACTAACCTGGAGTAAAAGAAACATACGACATTTGAAACAAAAAATAAAGGGTAAATTACACGAATGGTCCCTGTGGTTTAGGGTAACTTGCGCGTTTGGTCTCTAACTTGTTTTTCTAACTCGAAAGGTCTCTACTGTTTATTTTTATTACACGTTTGGTTTCTGTCTTACATAAAAAGTCTATTTTTCCCTTCATTTTTTAATTTATTTAAATAAACACACCCACAAGCCCACCCCCGCTCCTTAACTTATCTACCCTATTATTTTTCTCTATTTAAATAATTGTTTTTTACGTAAGATATGGACCAAACACGTAACAAAAACAAATAACAGGGACCAAGTGTGTAGCAATAACAAACAGTAGGGACCTTTCAAGTTAAAAAATTATATTAGGGACCAAGCGTGCAAATTACCCCAAACCACAGGGACCATTCGTGTAATTTACTCAAAAATAAATAAAATAAAAAATAAATGACGCACGGCGGCTACAGGAAATTTAAAATACCGGTAAATACATTTTCAGCAGGGACCTTTTTGTTAAAACCTCAGCTTGTGAGTTCACAATCTCTTTAAAAAATTATATTTGTCGTAGTCCAAATACGAAAGCAAAACGAGGGCTTCTTTCTTTTTTTAGTTTTTATACTAACAAATTAAATATAGAAGTCAAAAGTCAAACAAGCCGCCAAAAATCAAATCTAAGCAGCAGCCGAACAGTAGAAGACTTTTTGCTGAACAAATAGCAAAAATCATATCATTAAAAGTTGAGTAAACTACAAGAGCGGTCGCTATGATTTAAGGTAATTTACGTGTTTGGTCCGTAATTTATATTATTAACTTGGAAGGTTCCTACTACTTTGTTTTTGTTACACGTTTGGTCCCTATCTTATTTAAAAAAACTATTTTGTCCTTGATTTTTTAATTTATTTAAATAAATAGACCCTAACCCCAACCTAATCATCATACTTTACCTTACTTATCTAACCATTTTTTCGTATTAAGAAAATAGTTTTTTTAGGTAAGGCATAGACCAAACGTATAACAAAAACAAACAGTTAGAACCAAGAACGTAACAAAAAACAAATTATAGGGACCTTTTAAGTTAAAAAAACAAGTTAGGAACCAAATACGTAAATTACCCCAAACTATAAGGACCATTCGTGTAATTTACTCTTAAAAGTTTAGATTATAACTCTTCTTGTGCCGGCCATTTGCAATCTCTATTATAATCAACAGTTGACTCGTTTCCTTTTGTTCTTTTTGGATTGCTAATTTGTTTTATACAATGAAGCATTATATATGTGGGGTTGATCTTAAATTTGTGTTTAACACACTTCATAAAACAGTTGCATGGGAATATAATATAACAGCTTTATGTAAAATTTGAATCTTCGATTGTGTATATATGATAGTAGCTGGTGCATGTATTTCAAAATAATTGACTTTGTATACGTACACATATGTCAAAAGAATTATTATTATTATTATTATTTTTGGCTGAAATGCAAGGTGTCAAAAATTATCCCAAGGGTATGTAAATCGAATTATATATAATACAATTGTGGCCCATTATCATGCGTTTGTTGACATTTCAACATCAATGTAAAGTAAATGGATTTCTTCATGGAATTAAAGAGATAGACGTACATACTTATGGAAAACTCATAGATTGTTTTGAAGTAGATGTCATGTGATTATCTTCTGATTATTAACTTGATTGCCAATTAATTATGACTGATTAGTGTGCTCATGATTGTATATCCTTCGCTGGAGAGAAATAACAAGATGGGTCGTATCTATTTTTTTTAGAATGGAGATACTGAATCAATTATATATTGATAACCACCGATTTATACATAATATAATTTACAGACCAATTCTGCCCGCCACAATAACTCGAGGACCTACACACTACAAGAAGACTGGGCAACAGTGGCGACGCCTGTTGTTGCCAAAGGTTCTGTATGTCGCCGCTAATACCTTTAGTGGCGACACGTCGCTACAAATATATCGCCGGTAATAACTCGTCGCTAATACTCCTAGAATCGCCGCTAAAGGTTGACCGTCGCCGCTAATGATATGTCACCGCTAATACAGTTTTGTCGCCACAAAAGATGTCGCCGCTAATACAATTTTGGTTATTTATTTATTTATTTAACATTAAATTTATAATAAAAAACAATATACCATTTATAAAATCTAATAACTTTTTATTGAAATATTAATCCGTACACAACAAATCTAAAATATTAATCCATACTACTCTAAAGTATTCTTCCAAATTACAAAACATTTAATAAAACCTAAAGTAACTAATCGTCCTCATCATTTCCTTCATTATTTGGTGGCGGCAATGAGTGAAACCACTCTTCCAATGCTGCACAATAGGTCGGGTCATTTAGTATTGTTTGCAGCATTTCCAACTATAAAGAAAACAAAATATATTACCAACATATGATAATAGCATTATAATTATACCATTCTACAAAATATCAACATATCAAATAATAACCAACATATCATTATAGTTTTCTACTTTCCATTATAGCATTGTATTTTCCATTATATCATTATACTTTTCAACTTAAACTAACAATTACATGTGATTGCAATTGTTGTTGTGTCACTAGTTGTTCTTGATCGTACATGGACACAGCGGTTGGGGTTTACGCCCAATGCCTCTGACGTCTGCGTCGAACACCCAATATTCTTTCAAAACAGTTTTTTATATCGGTGGGTGTTAGACCGCTTTCTTCAGAAGTAGCTTGGGTTCGTTGGTTGATCACCTGGAGTAAAGCATTTAGTATTTTTAAAAAATAATAAAAATCATAAAAATTAGATTACTAAATACCCTTGACGATATAAATACTTATATGAAAATATAAATTAACCACTTACATATTGTTGCTCAACTACAGGGCTATAAAATACCCCTAGTCGATTGGAATTAGCCTTACAAAAAACATCAATTCGATTGATATCCTATTTAACATTAAAAATTAGTTTACTTATAATTTAAATAAATATTTAAATATATCATAACTTACTTCTTTGAAACATGCATTGTTTTTTTAGCTCAACCCTCCTTTGTTTACAACTACTTGTTTTACATGACATTCTTTGTTTGATGTCGAACGCATTAAAAATTCTGACATTTGAAAATGTTTGACTGCCTTCGCCCAATTTTCACGCGTGAAATACCATGGGGGGGGGGGGGTGTTGTTTAATGCGGCTAGGATTTCTGTAGCCCCCCCCCCCCCCCCCTCCCCCGATTTCCTTAAAATAAGAATGAGCTTTACTTTATCAGCCTCTGTAACTTTTGTAAGAGTTGAATCAATGCTCCGCAACAAGTGAGCATGCTCCTGATCCATGTTAACCTTATCCAAATCAAATTTATTCTACAAAATAAAAAAAATTAGTTAATTAAATAAAAATCACAACTAAACTTAAAATTGTATCCAAGTTACCTTTAAATGCACAACTGTTGCATTCCTTAAGGCGGGGGAAACATTGTCCCAACCAGGTACATTCAAAGGAACATTGTTCCACAAATACCTCCCAATTTCATATGTGAACCAATTACCACGCTTCCCGACATGGGAATATGTGATCTCCGTGTCGAAATCCAAATCCACGGGCTTTCCCTTGTTTGCCCGTATCAACTTTCCCAGCTCCATATTTTTTTATATGCCCCTTCTTTTTTTGGAAGTTCGGCTGAAAAAATACAATTAAAAGTATTAGTCACGATAACTTATTATAAAATAATAAAAATAGTTAATAAATATATCATAATAAAACTCGCCATCTTGTTCGTGCTGACCACGACCAAAGCCTACTGGAGGTGGTGGATCCCCGACTCCATCACCTCCATGTCCAAGCCCCATAACATCGGCCCATCATGGCCAAGAGTATTGCCCATGTAAACCTCATATGTAGCCTGTAAATTATAAGATGTACAATATAGAAATACAATATGAATAAAAAGTTAGTTACCTTACAAAATTGTAAGATATACAATATAGACAAACAATATAAATAAAAGTTAGACAAACAATATGAATTAAATGTACATTTCAAAGAAAGTTTCTATTAGAAAAAAAAACATCTGATTTTTTTAATCAGAATCTTCATTATATACTTCAATGCTTCTTTATCAGTATCATAATCAGAATCCTCATCATCATAATAGTCTCTTCATCGGAAACATTATCGATTCTACCGGTTAGGGGAGGTACTTCAGTCTCGTCTTCATCGTCATAATCAGCATTGTTTTGAGCTACATCAACATTGTTTTGAAAGTATTGTGAGAAGTCGATAAAAAGTCTAGCTCCAGATGAAGAGTTGTTTTGAACTATATCAACATTTTCGGCCTCCACATTGTCGACATCTTAGACAGAGTCACTGTAAGCATTTTGGACACGAGCATTGTCACATGGTAGATCCCAAATATTTCGATGATTAATATGCTCGACAACACAACGAGGGTTTTTGTTTTGGTTTCTTCGATGATTAACAGGATCGCGGATGTAGAACACTTGTTTGGCTTGCGAAGCATATATGAGTTGATCATCTTTGTACACTTCTTTTTCTGTGTCGATACTTATGAAATTATCATCAGGAATATCTCCCGTATCGAACCACTTGTACCGAAATATTACAGTCAAATAATCATATGGATATTGCACCTCCATAATCTCTTCTAACTGGCCATAATATTTCTCTCCATTCTCACCAACCGCTAGAACCCCAGAGTTTTGTGTTTTGCGTTGTGCATAACGACTAAGTACCATAAACCTAACACCGTTGACTATGCATGCAATGTAAGTATAAACATCCATTTGTGAACCCATTGAAAGGGCTGCCAACTCTTTGTGGAATTCTGGAGAGTTTTCTTTTTCCATCTGATAAACCTATTAAACATATGTTGATGTGTTATGTATTCTTGATTTGTTATATTTATCAAAGATATTTGTTTGTTAATTATTATTACCTTTTCAAGAAACCAGTTGGCAAATTCGATCTTTTCGTCACTTTCAGGATGTTCAGATTTGAATTTTCTATATTGATGAATATATATGTATATATATGTATATATATATATATATATATATATATATATATATATTGATGAATGGAAAAATGTAACAATAAATAATGAAAGATAATTAAAAGTAAGAACACTTACTCGATGGATTGTCTGACTTCTTGACAACTATTCAATATAAACCATTTTATATTACGTTTCTCCCTTATATCAAGATGTTTGATTTGCATTGCGCTCGTCAGTCGACACTTGGACTCAAACAGCCAAAACTTTATTTTTTCAATGATAACATCTTCGTTTCTTTCAAGGAGATTGACATCTCGAAGGTACATCGAACAAAATGTCAAAGCTTCTTCAGCAATATAACCTTCAGCTATACAACCTTCTGGCCTCGCCTTATTTCTGACATATTTTTTTAGTTTTTTCATATACCTTTCGAACGGATACATCCATCTCATACATACTGGGCCTCCGGCAATCGCTTCATTAGGTAAATGCAAAACTAAATGAATCATAATGTCGAAAAACGCTAGAGGATAAATCAACTCTAACTTGCACAACATTCTAATAATGTCTTCTTTTGCTTTCCTCATATCCTCCACCTTTAGTGTTCTGGAGCAAATTTGCTTGAAAAACGTACAAAGATCTACAATTGGTGTAGAAGTTTCTTTGTCCAATAACGCTCTTACTCCAATCGGTATCAAACGTTGCATAAGAATGTGATAGTCATGGGATTTCAACCCAACAATGTTAGTATCATTATCTATCACTTTCTTACTGATGTTAGATCCAAACCCAACAGGAAATTTAACATCTCTTATAAATTGACAAAAGATTTTGCGGTCAGGTTTCTTGAATGAGTAGCTTTCATGTGGTCTAGTGAACTTGTTACCCTTTTTTGCAACCATTGATTACGCTGGATATTGATATTTTTCAAGTCCTCGCATGCATTTGATGTGTCTTTACTCTTATCATTCATCATAGAAGTACCCAAAAGACTTTCACCCACATTTTTCTCGACATGCATCAAATCTATGTTGTGCTTCAGCTGCAGAGAAGACTAATACTCGAGCTCGAAAAATATGCTATGTTTCGACTAGTTCAACTCGAATCCTTGCCGATCCATATTTTCATTGAGAGTGTTAGGATGTTTACCCGGTTCACAAAGTATTAGACGACCTACTTTCTCTTGTATGTCTTCATTAGTAAAGTGTCTCGGAGCGGGTCTTGTCTCAGGTTGGCCGTTAAATTTCAAACTCATCCTTAATGGATCATCAGTATCTAAGAACCGACGATGACCGATATAAACAACTTTATTTACTGCACGGTACGAGGGAGTGTCTTCATTTATTTTCCATAACAAGATAGCTTTCATTGTGAAGAATGTGTTTGCCGCCGTGTCTTTAAAATGCACGCCTAATTGCCACAAAAACTTAAGCTCTTCCACTAACGGCCAAAGGAAAACATTTATGTCCTTTCCAGGCGCTTTAGGGTCGGGAATCAATAAGGCCAACATGAATGATGACTCTTTCATACAAAGCCATGGTGCAAAATTGTATGTGGTGAATACAACCAGCCACGTACTATCGGAATACACATGTTACCAAATGGATTAAAGCCATCAGCTGCCAGCCCTAGACGTATGTTGCGAGGTTCACTCAAGAAGTCAGGGTAATCTATATAATATTTTTGCCAAGACTCTCCATCAATGGGATGACGCATCACACCATATTCTGATCTCCCAGTACTATGCCATATCATATTTTTAGAAGTGTACCGTGAACAATACATACGGCGTAGTTTAAGGGTCACTGGAAAGTACTGTAACACCTTATGAGCCACTTTCTTACCCTTAGTGTTTTTATCAATCCACTGACTCTCTTTACAAATGGGACAAACTTGCAATGATGTGTGTTCCTTCCAGAAGAGAAAACAATCGTTTTTTGCACACATGTATTGACTCGTACCCCAAACCTAACTTCTTCAGTTTTTTTTTTGCTAAATAATATGAACGGGGGACCTTGTTGCCTAGTGGAAATGCCGAATGCAACAACTCAAGGAGTTGATCAAATGAACTATCAGTCTATTTGTTGTTGACCTTCATATGCATCAGTTTTGCTAAAAAAATCAAGGAAAGAAAACGTACAACACTACTAGAAAAACAGCCTTTTACGACGCTCATTGCGCGTCGTAAAAGGCTCAGACGACGCGCAAATGCGTGTCAAGGAAGGCCCTGTCATAAAGAGAGACGACGCGCTTTTGCACGTCGTCTATAGACGACGCGCATTTACGACGCTCATTTACGACGCGCAATTATGATGCGCGTTTACGACACGCAATGACGACGCGCGTGTTAATGACACGCAATGCGTATCAAGAATGCCCCTGTCAAGAAAGGTCATGTCATAAATGAAGATGACACACATTTTTGCGTATCGTAAATTTAAATGTTTAAAAAAAAATTATATATTTATTAATTTTTAAATTAAATTTGCATTTAATTTCTCATAATAGAAATAAAATACCATATACAAAAAATACAATCCATTGCATAATATAAAATAAAATTTCATACTCAAAAAATAAAATAAATTGCACAAATTGTAATGTCATACAAAGAATCATTCAAATGTTAAACAAAAATAATACATAGCTAACATGGGTTATACATTCATATAAAACTAACAAATAATCATACAACTCTGTTTCTTACTGGAAAGGAATGTCAAACATGATTACAAGTCTCCCTTAATCTTGATTACTCACCTGCTTAAGTAGAATGTTGTTGTTGAAAAGGTTACCTAGCAACAGAGAAAAACACAACACCTCTCCCACAATCACAACATCATTTATAGAGAAAGGGTTGTCAATTACTTTCATTAAGACTTTCATTCAATCACAAAAATATTAAATAAAAGGGTGAAACAGTAACTTACTTTTGATAAGTTGATCTCCCTTAGAGCAAACACAGCTAAAGCATTGAACAAGACCCTATTTCAAAATTTTATAAATACACAAATCATGATACCTGATATTGGAATACACACTTTGAGACATAAATAAATATGAGTAGATTAACCTGGATACATAGGAAGTAAAGATGGAAGGTGCCAGAACTCCGGGGGCATTGGGTTGGTTCCTTCCCACTCGCACACACCAAGCCAGAACTCCACTTAATCCAGCACCAAAATAAGCTTGCATTCAGAAAGCTGCAGGGGTGAGTCACAATTCAAGAATCTGTTAAAATTTGAGGAATAACATGTTCAACCAAAACAATATTAGAAAACAGGGTTAAATGTGAAACCTAGCAATGTAATAATTATCAAGGTGCTGGAATACTTGAAATCTAGATTATTTGCTTGTTTGTACATCCAGACGATTTTATCACGAACATAAGTCATGTTATCAACTTTCTGAAGAAGTATACCAAGACATTTGTAGGAGAAGAATACTCTCAATAAGATAATTTAATTAAAAAAAATGTAATGATAATGATAATGAGTTCATACCTGTGAAGTAGTGCAGAATGCTCATCATCATATGTATAAAGCTCATACTACTTTGCAAAAGCATTTCCTAGAGAAATGACCCAATCAATGTCTTGAACAACATCCAAAGTTTCTGCAAGAAACTGCAAACAAAAAAAAGAAATAAATAATAATGACATGAAAAGTAAGACTATCAGTCTATAACCTCAACAATAAAACAAAACAAATTATTATTAAAATCAAATAATGATAATAAAAATTGTTACAAATTATGGGACAGCAGGGTCTTCTATGATCACATATAAAGCAGCCCTATTACAATATTACCCTTATGGGACAGCAGGGTCTTCTTCTATGATGACAAATTGTGGGACAGCAGTACATGACTAAATACATGTAGATTGATAAGGTTGTTTCTTTTTTACTTAATAAAATCAAAATGACTTGCCGTGCTAAGTGAGAGGTTGGTCACTTTATGTATTAAGACCCTTCCTATTACAATATTACCCTTGTTTATTATTTTTATTTTATTCAACTTTTGACAATCTCATGAAAAAGGCACTATCGACCTCGTTTTTTTTCAATGTTCACAGAATTTTAAACAAAATGTTGGCATCTATTTACCTGTTGTTGTTTGTTTTAGAATTTGGAGAGAGAGAGAGAGAGAGGGAGAAAGAGAGAGAGAAAGAGAGAGAGAGAGAGAGAGAGAGAGAGAGAGAGAGAGAATCTTCATGCCTTTATGGTGTATCAAAGGAGGGCGCGAAAAGACAACCCAGTTACCATCCTAAGCAATTAGTGGTCCTAGACCATGTGAAAAACAGAGCTCATATCATAAGCTGATTTCATAAGGGGCAACAACCAGTATGGCAATCCTAGCATTCCAAAATTTGAAAACTCAAAGCTTGTCATTGGCTCACAAGTTTTGTTGTATTTCCGCACCACCTGACCATCTAAACACTCTTGTTTCTTAGAGGATATTGTAGTTCATCAATTAAAACAAAAGGAAAATATTTAATTTTACCTGTGTCACAAATTACGATATTGTCCTGAAAAGTTACCAAAGAATAAAGCAGACCCGCACGTGAAATACCCTCCACCGAGAAATTATTTTGTGGCAGCTGCTGACAGATCCATGATCCATAAAGTTTCAAAACTGCATGAAAACATTATATAGCAGATTAACAGTATATCATGTTAATTAAAATATGACATGTAAAATGTGGTAATTTTCCAATGACTTGAGAAGATGCCAGGAGTAAAAATGTAATTTAGGATCAACTTCCTCAGAATTTGAAGGAATGTCTTTTGCACTCTAAAGTTTATCAATGATCCAAGTCACTAAACTACTTTTTGTCTCACTGACATTAGGTTTTTGATATAATGTCTCAACTGTCCTGCTCTCCATATCAGCTCTCCTTATAGCATGATTCTTTCATCATATGAAAAGTAAAAACCATAATAAGACTATATCCCCATCAATATATTTGTAATTATTCATTTAAAAAAGAATACCTCTGAGTCAACAAAATAGAAGCAATCATCCTCATTGTGATAAAACAAAGCAGCAGGGCGAATTATTTTGGAAGATTCAAACTCTCCATATTCAAATCCAAGTGAAGATCCAATCTGAAATATATATATATATATATATATATATATATATATATATATATATATATATATTATCATAAGCATTTAGCTACTCAAAATTGAAATGCTATGTGAATTATAAATGGAACTCCTGATAATTACCATTAACAAAGCATAGTATATTTGATAATTAGCATCAAGATCAACAATCCCATCCATTTGAAGTGCATCTGAGTTTGCCAAATCTGAATTTGCAGGTGTAATGGCTAAGATTATACAACATGGCTGCATAATGTAGGAGAGTATCATTTCATGGAACACAGTAGAGAAGGGACCTGGACATGATGATAAAAACAAAATTAATCAAAACTATGAGTAAATTAACCTAATCACTGCATATAACCTACCCACAATGTTTTTCACCGGAAGTGGACCCCTGCACCATCACATCACAAAAATCATAAGGATTGTAATCTTGATACAGGACCAGAACTGTAGCCAAATTCCTACAAGATTATTGATACAAGACAATGAGCAAACAACAAAACACAGAACTAATCAAAGATACTTATAATCAAGAAGTGAAATCGCACCTGAAGAATGGGAGGAGCCTTGAAGATCACAATATCTGAAACTTCTGGCTTGCGAAAGATGTATGAAACCTAAATCAATAACAGGCAAAAACTCAAAATCTTGCATACAATCACTATGTGAATTGAAAAGCCAAAATAGTGAAATTGGCAACCATCATTCATATAGTGTGTAATAAGGTTAGAATTGGGATTATACCTTTTCGGCCATTATGCGATCACCCACATCAAGGGTAGGGCTCATGGATTCATAGGGGATGGATCTTGGTTCAGCCAATTGCGATCGGAATAAGATACTGACACTCAAAGCGGTGAAGGCAGCCTTAGCATCATCGGAGCAAACACTTAATAGTTTTGAAAACCAATTGTTCCTCTCAACGATGATTTTGGTACTTGCAACATTGCAGGTTTTCACGCAATCAGTAGTAGTCTGATTGGACTTTGTCGAGCTAGTACCGCCTTTATCAACCTCTGTACTGTTAATCTCGTTACATGGGAGCCACTTCGACCCTTGGAAAAACGGAATCATGGAAGACGCCTTCAACGGCGAAATCCCAAAAACCCCAGAACCACCACCAACGCCACCACTGGTAGTCGTTAACTTTATCAACGAGATCAATCCAACAACGAGGGGAGAAGGTTTGGAGGAGGTCTCAACGCCAATAAAATCACATGCAAGAGTGGCATACGCCGAAACCGAACACCTTGAACCCGCCGTTGCTACCGGACCGTACCCGGCGATGGGATCTCGGTCGGGATTCTGGAATATACGAGGACGAGAAAAAACCTCGTGAAAAATTCGGCATGTATTGGATTTTCCGGAGGCGGTGGCTAGGTTTTGAGCCACGTAGCCGGAGTAAGAAACAGTGAATCTGATCGCCATACACGCAATTTTGATTAACAACAAAAAGATTTGGAAAATTGCTTCTTCGGTGATCAACTGTTGTGACGTGAAAAGAAAACTCACAAAGAAAGAGATCCCATTGAAAATGAAGAAATCAGTGAGATTAGGAGGGTGGGGTGATTAGAACAAGAAGGGAAGAATCGGGAGCTGAAAATTGGGGAAAATGATGAAATCGAAAAACCCCAAAGCTGAAAACAACCTGAGATTTCCTCCGAGAAGCGATGGAGAGATCTCAAGGGTGTGGAGACGAAAGAGACTTCCGGTGAAAAACATTGTGGGTAGGTCTGTGTTCAAAATTGATAGATTTTTTTTCAAAATTGATAGGGGGTTGTGATTCTTTAGGCTTCAAAATTGATAGATTTTTTTTCGATTCTTTCAAGTTTGAATCAGAAAATGAGAAAGAGTTAGGGAAATCAAGAGTGCAATGCTCGTCCTTGTTAGGTTGAAGATGAAAGATAGATAGAAGATAGAAAAAAAAAAGGCGGGTTTTCAAAATTTTGGGGATTTCATTTTCCCCCTTGTATACTAAAAGTGCGTTTCATTAAAATTATAAAGCGACAGGTACAGACGACGCGCGTTTAAGATAAAGCGCCCTCCGTGTTTTTAATTTTTTTTTTCTTGAGACATTAAATTAAGGGCACGCAATAAAGCGTGACGTAAATCCTTAAATTTTTTGGAGGGATGACACTATTTGAAGGGCACGTCCTTTTGCGTATCGTTAATTATCGCGTGTCGTAAAAAGCGCGTCATTAAAGGTCTTTTTTCTAGTAGTGCAACCAGGATATAACTTGGTTTCGACTGCCTCTAAGCACTCTTCAAAATCATCATCGACACCGCTACCCCCTTTATTCGAGGTTCCTTCATCAAGGTTTGTATCATTTTCTCTCGACTCCCACATAACATCGTCAATAACATCAGCCATCTTGTTGCTTGGGGATACGACATCTATAATTTGAGGGATTAAAGGTTCACCGTGATACATCCACGTGTTGTATGATTGACTGAAACCATATATACGAACATGATATCTCATTGCTTTTGGATCCATGAAATATCTGTTGGATTAGTGTCTAAGGCTGTAACTATATTTAGTAAATACTTGACCCCGTTGTGCATGGTCCTTTTGGGTTGCCTTCATCATAGCAACTTGACAGGATGAATTGTTAAGAGAGAAGAAATATTATTGTTAATATATTATGAGAATAATATATTAAAGGGATAATAATATTATTTGATTAATATACGTTATATATTAATTGAGAATTAATTTGATAACTTAAACAGGTTAATTGAATAAAGGGGCATAAACTGTCAAAAGTGTGATAGTTGTGTTTTGGGCTATGTATCCTTATGGGTAATGGGGTGGATGAAATTTAGGGTTAGGGAACCTTAAAATCCGTCCAAGCCTAGTATCTAGAAGGATCTTGGATTGCTTAGGGCCTAAGTTATTCAATTAGGGTTTAAGGTGAAACCCTAGTATCACATAGTATAAATAGACCCCTAGGGTGAGGGAAATCAGCACTCATGCAAGGCAAGGAACCCTAGGGAAGATTTTTCACCCTCTCCCCTCCCTCTCAATATCATCCTCTTGCTAGTTGGTGTTTGTAAGCCATTAGAGGAGTGACAATTGTGACTCTAAGCTCTAAGGAGAAGAAGTATCAAGCAAGTAATCTAAGGTATTGTTCTAGATCCAATTACATATGATTTGATTCAATTGTTTACATTAGATCTAGTATTGTAAGTCTTGGATTCAATGCATATTCAACAAGAGAAACCTATATCCAAGCATTAGGGTTTGCATGTGCCCATAGGAAAGTTCTTATGGCTCAAACCCATTAGTGGTATCAGAGCCTTGATTGATTTCTATTGAATTGATGCATTGGTTAATTGCTTGTTGCTTGCAAAATTCAATTTTTTGTCTTCTACCTGAGGAACTCGGCGAGTTCCACTGTGGACTTGGCGAATAGCTCCAACTCGGCGAGTCCATAGTGGGTACTCGGCGAGTTCGAGCGTCAGAAAGAGGAAATGTCGGGATTTCTTGAGGAAACATGCCTTAACTGTTTTGGGTCATTAAAATCAGATTTTAACTATATATATGAGTATATTCTTGACCAAACAAAAGACAATTACCAATTAGTTGAATAATAATTTCCTTATGTGATAATAATTGATTATTTGAATTGAATTGGTTAATTATTTTGCAAGTAATATTGAATAAGATCAAATTGAGATAATCTAACTGTTGATTTACATTATTTGCTATTTGATCCTTATGTTTTGAAAAGTTTAAAACTTTTCCTCAAGTTTTGAAATTTATGTTTTGTGATTAAAAGTTTAATTTGAATAATTTAAATTTCAAATCCTAGAATTTTACAAGTTAAAAAGTTCAACACTATACTATTATATGATTACAAGCTTTATATATATATATATGTGTGTGTGTGTGTGTGTGTGTATGATTAAAAATGCTAGTCTTACCGTAGTAGGCCTCATTCGCGAAACCGGTCTATAAGGTAGGTATAACGTTGCTGCCTATAAAATGGCACTTAATGGGTGTACACTCACACCTATCACTTGCTTGATTGGTGGAGGGTCGTTAGCCGAACGAGTAGGATAGGGCAAACCTCTTCTCATTAATAAGTATAATGAATCTATGTAAAGTAACTAAACTATTTTATAAAATTCCCAATCTTAGTAACTTTAGGAAAAGTGAATTGATGCAATCCCATGAAATTACACTTTACACCCTTGTTTAGATGTTAGTGGAGCGTGTGTGGTTAACCAGCACACTAATTGGGTCAAAGCAAAGGTGGCAAAGGATGATTCAGTGTTTATCATAGTTCAGTGGAGCGTGTGTGGTTTACCGGCACATCGAATAGGTGATTCTAACAATGAAGGCACCATGAGGATTTGCATGGTTATTCACACTCGCTTTGTGATCCTCGGTATCCTAGTCACAAATTAGAGTGGCATATCGAGATTTAAACATGCCATTGAAAAGTTCAACGAATCTCAAAATCTAGGAATTCTCAATACATTTAAAACTTAAAGCTTATGTTTTTCATGGTGAAGAATTAGTGAATCGTCATTCACTTTCCTCCAAATTGTTTGCATGTTGGATCACGGCATCTCTTTTCTAATATGTAAATAATGTTGTTGGGTCCTAGCCCTAAATTTTCATTTTGGGTGTGAATTAGGGACTTAATTCTAATCAACTTTGTTCCTTTCTTTTGTAGATGTCTAATGTTAACAACGCTGCTACTAGCTCATTCACACTAATGAGCCTTTGTCAAAAGCTGACTTTCGATGGATCGAACTTTAGCGAATGGATAAGATACATTCGCACGATCGCGCGTTACGAGGACAAGGAGTATCTTCTTGATGAGAAGCTCGAGAAGATCAATCCAGAAACTGCCACTCCCAAAGAAATGGCTGTGTTTGAAACACATGAGCGTGATGCAACGAAAGTCCATTGCATCATGATAGCCACTATGAACTCCGAATTCCAAAAGTCCTATGAGGACATGTATCCTTATGAGATGCATCTTGATTTGATGGACCGATACCACCAAAGCGTGAGGCAAGAACGCTATGAGATCATAACGAATATGATCACTGCTAAAATGGGAAGTGGAGAATCTCTTACCGTGCACTTGCAAAAGATGCAAAGGTATGTCGATCGTCTTCGCAAGTTGAATGTCAACTTTGGGGAAGATTTGGCTAGCGACATTGTTCTTCACTCCTTGCCCTCATGCTACAACCAATTTAGGATGACCTACCACATGAACAAGGAAGAGGTCACCCTAAGCAAACTCCAAGGGCTCCTAAGGACTGCTGAGAGCAATCTTAAGGACAATTTTGTTGCACCATCTCCCAATCCGTCTACTGCTCCTGTTTTGGCAATTGGATAGGGAAGGGGAAAGAAGAGGAAGGCTTCTTCAAAGAACCACCACAAGGGAAAGTCCCAAGATGGTTCCTCTTCTAGTGGGACCAAGGTTGATCCTGTTAAGCCATCAAGGATGGAAAGATCAAGCCATCTTTTGCAGGTATATACACAATTAAATCTAGTAATTCATCCCATACTATTTCTTGGGTTCTTGACACAGGATGTGGTTGATGGGTTTTGAGCATTATAACACTTCCTAAGTGTACATGCAACCCTAATAACCTTGGATCTATGTTTGTCTAATTATCATGCAAAGTTGAATTCCAAGGTTATATTCCTATCTAGCATACATGGGGAACAATTTTAACTTAAAGTATAGATAGAATAACTTACCTTGTTGTTGTTTGTGTTCCTTGAAACCTTGTGAGCCTAGCACCCCAAGTGTGATGCCTCAAATGCTTCACACAACACCAAATGCTCTTGGAAGAACTTATAAGAGAACACACACTTCTCAAAATCGGCCAAGCCCTCTTATTTCTTAGTGTAGCCGATTTTAGGTGGAGAACATGTTACTTATATAGTGTTGACACATCTAGGGTTAAACCCTAATGTGTCATGACTCTTCATTTCCATGACCCATGGGTTTGTAACTCCCATGGAGCATCCATGGAGCATCCTATGGGTGGAACCCAACTTGATAGTCCATGGAGCCTTTTAGCCCCCTATACAAGATATGGATGATTTACATAATCAACCCATATATTTATTTAGTTATCTTTTGATCACATAATTAATTCTAAATTAATTCTTGATCAAACTAATCAAATAATATTATTAATATATTAGAACTTATAATATATTAATAATCTCCAAGTGTTATTTCTCTCATTTAGTCTATCCAATTGCATGATGCCATGCAACCCAAATGGACCATGCCGGGTCGGGTCAAGTACATACCAGAAATAGTTATGGACTTAGACACCTTATCCAACAGTCTCCCACTTGGATAAGTCTAATAACTATTACTGCAAATATGACTTCAGGAACCGATCGGCACGAAACTGAGAAGATGATGGTACGCCATTTAAGATAAGTGATCATATAATCCTCTGTTCTAGATATCAGTCGGACAAATACATGGAACAATGTCTTACTTATTGTCCAACAGTTTGTTTCCCGATTTCCGATTTGTTTGACAAAGAACTTCATTGAACACATCAATTTAGTTCTGACCGGGCCCGGTACATAGGTCAAAACAAAATCATCGAGGGGCCCAGATATCAGCTTCTAATCCAAGAAGGAACAGATAAACTTCGACTCATATGTTTGTTCTACTACTCATTGAATTACACACAAGAGCGCGATTTATAACATCGAGTTACCAATG